AAGAGCCCATGTTCCATCAGCTTGGGAGGCGCCAAACCCCAACCCCTCTGAAGTTTAGGAGACATGGCAATGGGGCACACAAGGGACTTCTTCACAAGCTGAGCAACTATGGTCAAGCTGGGTTCAACCACCACAAGAAGCAGAGCATTCCACTCAAGTCTATGAGAGAAGGAAGAGGAGAGCTAGCAAGTCTCCTCAAACCTCAGGATCATCCCATAACTCCTACCATTAAACCAAGTACCACATCCTTTCCATTGTTTTATACCATTGCATCTTTTTATTTTTGTAATATATTTTGTTGCTTCTCTCTTCCATTGCTTTCATTACACAAGGGACTGTGTAATTTAAGTGTGGGGGAGAGATTTGGGGTTTGACTTTGTGTTCTGTTTTCTTAGTTTTTCTTTTTCTTTTCACTTTGAGTCTCATGCATATCATGCATACATGTAAGGCATAGAAAAACACAAAAAAAAAATCGAATTTTAAAAAAAATTTTTGCATTTTTACAAACCAAAAAGAAAGCATGTAGTTGCATTTCATTCTTCTAGGATTGAGTCTAGTGTTGACATGTAGGTTGCATTGCATTTGCATAGGGCATTATGATGAATTTTCCTTGTAAAGTGCTTAGTGTTTAGAGATGATTTCAGTTTTTAAGTGCTTAGTTGTTTGATGCATCATATGATTGCTAGAAGTTAAGGCTGAACCATGCTTAGATTGCTAGATTTGGTCTTCTCATCTCATTCTGAAAGCATTTGTTCTCTGAAAATTAACTCTATCAACTCGAACTTTAACTTGGACTTTTAATTATCATGTCTTATGCATTGAAAAGTGATTACATGGCTACCATATACATATTTGGATCATCTTTCTCCTTTCTACCACTCTTGTTGATCCAAATAGTTGATCCTCATAATTATGGGACAGTTACATCCTCACCCTTAACCAAAACCTCATTCTGAGCCTAAACACTATTGTGAGAGCTGTGAGGCCTTTGCATTGCATTTTTGATTTTGTCTTGGCAAAAAGTGTTATGAATAAGGCTGGCAATGATTAGCTCTCTTGTAGATATCAGCTTGCATCTTGAGCTTGATTCTAAGATAGGAGTTTTGGGGTTTAAAAGGATAGTGTAAGTGGTTTGAACTTCATGTTTATATGTTTTGAAAGAAAAGGAAAAGATCTGAAATGGTAGAAAAGGGGAAACAGTTTAGTATTGTAGTTAAGTAAAGGGAATAAAAGCTCTAAGTTCAAAAAGAAGAATTGGCGCTAACAACGATGCTTAGAAGGGTCCAAAAGAAGAAAAATCTGACCAAGAAGCAATCCACCAAAGGTGATGAAGGTGCCAACACAACAAAGAAGAGCAAGTTCCAACCCAAAAGAAGCAACCACACAAGCAAAAAGAAGAAGTTTCCCCAGCCATGAAGATGGGTAAAGGGTAGAGTTTAGGAAAGGGTAGACTTAGAGGGTTCACTCTTGGGTTTAGAAATGCTTAGGACTCATCTTTGGGAAATAAGGGTAGAAAAGAGCTTTGAATTGCATGCATAAGTGTGCTTTTACCTTTAGCATTTTGCCTAAGATGAAGTCATTTCATTGAGTGATCCTTTATGTTTTTGAACCATTGTGCTTAAATGAGATCATTTTTATCTCATAACCTTACCATTTTCAACCAAATGTCTTCACTTGATTTGCATAAGCATGATTCATGTTCTGAACTTAATTGAATGTTAAAGAGTTGATTGATTTGAGCATTTGCCTAAGTTGAGATTTGAGATCATTTTGAAACATGATGAGCATGGCTAGGATCTTTAAAGTATATGTTATTATGTTTGCATCCTACAACTAGGCACTTGAGCATTGAAACCATCTCTTTACCTTTGCACTTTTGGAATCTGAATGCCCACTTTCAAACCTCACTCTCCTATTTGTTCTTATTTGCTTGAGGACAAGCAAAAGGCAAGTGTGGGGGTGTTGATATCCCTTGTATTTACACCATTTAGGGCTGCATTTAGTACATATTTTGGTCCTCTTTTGCATGTTTTCCCTTTGCTTTTGTCCTATTTTCTTCTCCTTTTAGACTTAGGTTGCATTTAGAGTATAGTATGCATTTTGGATGTTTTTAGGTGCTTTTGGAGCTAGAAGGAGCTTGGAGGAGTTTTGGGAATGATACAAGATGCTAGCTGGGCAAAAGGGAACAAGAGGGATCACAGCAGAAGATCTCTGCAGAAGTTTTCGGTCAGAGCACGGAGAGTATCGGTCAAGGATGACCGATACAGAGCAATATCGATCACCAGTATCCGTCAAATGTGATCGACACAAACACACCGGATGGATTTTGGTCATATGTTTCGATCACTCCAGACCGATATAGATCCATTTCGGTCACTCAAGACCGACGCAATTGACTGATACTGACCCAGCCTGAACCTGTTTTTAATTACGCTTTTGCCATTACTCTAGGGTTTTCTTCTCTAGGCTATAAATAACCTCTTTTTCCAGATTTTCGGGAGGTCTTGTCAAAATACTGTTCTTGAACATTTTATTTAAGTTTGTAAGACAAATTCTTTGCTTTGTTTAATATAATCAAGTATTTGCTTTAATCTTTCTTTTAATCATGATTAGCATCATTTCCCTTTGTGATTTGATGTTAAACATGATTATGAGTGAGTAGTCATCTTAGGGTTTCTAGATGTGGTAGATTAGGGGGATTTAAGGCTTGATTAAGGTTTGTTAAGTGCTTCAGTTTATGGGTTTATATCTATTAATCTGTTATTCATGCTAGATTAGTCTTGATCAAACTTGTCTAAGTTGTTAGCTTTCTCTTATGTCCACTAAGTGTTTGATGAAATACTGATCATGTTTAATAGAGGATTTGCTGGCCTTGGCTCAAGAGATTGACTGTTTGAAGAGCATTTTGACTTGAATAAGAGTTGTTTTCTCTTGCTTGCTTGATGTTTTAACACTAATGAGAGTTAGTTCTTGTTAAAATGTTTAGCAAAGGGTTACTTGCCAAGAGATTGGATCTAACTAGCTTAATTGTGAACTCTATGTCTAGGAATCACAATTGCTTGCTTACTTGCTTGATCAATGTAGTTTGAAACAGCCTAGTTAATGTCTGAAATTCCCTAAAGTCAATAACCACATCTAGGAACTTGCCTTTCTCTTATTTGAATCTCGGATTTGCTCTGTTTTACTCTGTTTTTCTTGCTTAGAACTGCTTAGTTTGCTTTTGCTTTCACTTTGTTTGCTGCTTGTTTCATTTAGGTTGCTAGAACTGTTGCTTAGGCAACAAAACCAATTCTCCGCTTGCTTAACTTAGAGATTTTACTCTCAACTCTTCTGTTCTCAACTCTTCCCATTGGATTGACATAAAACTCATACTACAATTGACTAGTACAAGGGTGATTGAATCAAGAACCACACAAATCTTGTATCAATTGTCTTCATCTCTTACAACTTCTTCTTTTTCTTCAGATTTTATTTGTTGCCTTCTTCCAGTTTTGATTTTTATCTAATATCTTATTTTTCCAATTTTTAATATTTGACTGTTATATTAAAAATTAAGAGTTCTTCTACTTTTAACTTTGATATATTTGTTAATATAAAATTTAATAAATCTCAACATATACAAAAAATAATATAAAATAATATTTTAATATGCTAGAAAAAAATATATGCATGAAAGAATTAGTATGTGTAAGATAATATTTTTAAATATCTCAAATAAAAAAAGCAATCAAAATTATTTTTTTTTTATTTTTTTTCTTCTTTAACTCATATTTTTCTTAATTTTGAATAATATATTAAACATTAAGATCATCTCAAATATAATTTTCTATTTTTTCTCTAGAATATATGTGGATTTCTCTCCAACCAATTTTTATTTTACATGAAAAAGAAAGATTGTTACTTTTTCCTCCAACTATAGAGGAAAGAATAACATCTCTATTTTCCTTCATTAGAAGATTTAAAATAAATATGTGTTGGAGATGGTTTAAACTAATGTTTTGAAACCTGACCTGGAAAGCAAACCGGAATGTCTATCGAGTCACTGGGTTTCTGAGTTTATTTGGGTTGATCTGGATCAACCGCGGATTAACTAATTAATAAATTTTTATATAATATTTATATTATATAGTTTTAAAAATAGGAAAATAAATTTAAATGTAAGAAATATAACATAAACTGTTCAAATTATTAAATATAAAAAACATAACATAAAATGTTCAAAACATAACACAAACAAATGAAAAAAAATCAATGTTAATACAAATTACAAACCTTAAAACTCGACAAAAGTCATAAAGTAACATCCGGCCGAAAAAAAATCACAAAGTAACAAACCTCTATAATTCAATTAGAAATTATTTATATTAAAAAGATTTTTTTATAAAAAGAATGAAATTACTGGTTTAACCGGATCAACAGGTCACGAGTTACTCGTAGGTTTTCTGAATTTTACCGGGTTAATAAATTTTGGAATTTAAGAATAGAACCAACCCGGATGAGTGACCGGGTTCCGGTTTAACCGGGCAAACCGGCTGGTTTGGGTAGTGTTTCAAAACATTGGTTTAAACCAAAATTATAGCCCGAGATTTGTAAAAGAAACCAAAGTCGTAAAGATTTAATTTTACTTTTTCTTCTACTTCTTATTTATATATACAATATTATAAAAAAAGTTTGCTAAGAGTATATTTATAATTTTTTTTATCTGTTTATTTTTTTGTTTTATTTATAATTTAATGCATTCATATATAATATAATCTTTTTCATATTTAAAAATGAGATATATTTAGTTTTAATTTAACCAATCAAAATATTTCGTTTATTTTAGAAAATTTGTCATAACATATTTTTAGGTTATTATTAATTTACACTAATTTTTTTTCTGATTGCGATCCATCAGTTTTTTTTCGTTAAAGATGTTTATCAAATAATATTAAGGATATAAACTAGTGAAACTGAATTTTTAAATTTCTAATGACAGAAGGCATCTACTTAATAAACGAATCGGTAAAGATCCGTAATTATATTCGTACCCGGTTTGGGAGATTTAAGGTTATATTCGTAATTATACATCTTTTCCATCTTTCTTTTTTTCCCTCTTCCTTTTAGCGTCGAGACAAAGCTAAATTTTCTGCAGAAATCGCGACTTCACCAAACATTTATTCAAATTGGTACTTTTTGTTTCTGCAGAAGTTTTCATCACTACTTTGATTTTTCGACATCTCGGTTTATGAGGTAAGCTTTCACCCTCTTGTGTATCTTCTGATATGATGACGACCCTGCTTTTGCCAATTTTGTTTGTCGAGGAAATTTTGAATTAGGTCGTTTTCCGGGACACAGATCTCTTATCTTTCTTCGATTTGCGTTTGAAATTTCTTCTGATTTTTTCTTCTTTCCTTATTCGCTGTTCTTGATTGAATTTGGTACCTATTAGGGGTCTTGAAATTTTGGAACACTGGAACGAGATTCTTTTTTTTTTGTTAACTGCTAGGGTTTCTTGCGTTTAGAAAGAAGATTTATATCTTAAAGAGGATTTTTTTAGTTTTTCAATCTCTGTATTCTAATCTATTTTATGCTCTATTGGTGCAGCTCGAAGGAGAAACCCACTCTCGGGTGAGTGATCTCAATATATATATATATATTGCTCATTAGGTCAACTCAAATTTCAAGCTTATCCACATATTGCTTTCTGTCTGTCAATGGAAGTTGAAAAAAAAAATTTATGTTTTGATGTTTGTTTTTTCAATTTATTGGTTCTGATATTTTTCAAGCTGTGGTAGAGTGATTTTCATACTCTTTTTTTTCTTCTTCTGTTGGTACATAATAGTGTACTTTGAATTACTTTGAAATGAAATGTGAGAAAGACTTTTTCTTACCTGGTTAATGGCTCTTTTAAAATGAAATGTGCAACCTTTCAATCTAATGTTAGAAAATATTAAGTGAAACATTATGTTTAGAGTTGCATCTTTGACTTAGAAACTGCTAGCTCTAATACATTACTCGTTTTTTTTAATTGCAGAGGTACGCGGATTAAGAACCGCAAAAGGAATATTACTACTCCTTTTGACCCTACAGCTTTTTCTGATGCAGTTGTAGTGATTTATCTTGATAATGCTGGTGATCTGGTACTTCTTTCGTGTTCAAGTATTTGTGTTTTGCGTCTTAATTGTTTGTAAAAGTCTTGCACCTTAACTTATAACTTTGTTTTTGCTTGTCTTAGGACCTTGTTGCCAAAAATATTGAGTCATCGGATCTAAATTTCTCAAGATACGGCGACATTTTCTTTGAGGTAATTCTCCATATATCTATATGGACTTTACCTACTCTGTATCATATACGTCTTCCTAAGAGATCATTTCTCATGTCTACTTTAACTTTTATATTCATCTGTTGGGGTCTATTTATTATTAGTCACTTCCCGAAAATCTGTAAAATATGGTTACTAAGAAATCTGCATGACTGTTTGTGTTCTTCACAATCCCGTGGATGTTAAAACCGCTTCAGTGCAAGGGATACTATGTTTATGTTTTCTTGTATGGAGTGACTTTTTTTATTTTGCTTGTCTTTCCTTAGATTATTAATTGATGGATCTCTCTTGTCATTTAAGGTTGTATTCATTGGAGGACGTACACAAACTGGTTCAGTGAAATCCGATGAAGGGGAACGCCATCCTTACTCTATAATCGACTGTGAGCCAAAGCGTGAATCTATTCTACCATCAGTTGTATACATACAGAAAATCTTGCGGAGGAAACCTTTCCTTATCAAGAACCTCGAGAATGTCACGCGGAGATTCTTGCAGTCACTGGAGCTTTTCGAGGAGAACGAGAGGAAGAAGCTTGCGATATTCACATCCCTCGCTTTTTCCCAGAAGCTCTCGGGATTACCTGCAGAGACTGTCTTTCAGCCGTTGCTTAAAGATAATCTCGTCGCCAAAGGGATAGTGCTCACTTTTGTAACGGACTTCTTCAATGAGTATTTGGTTGAAAACAGCCTTGATGACTTGATTGCTATCCTGAGGCGTGGCAAGATGGAAGACAAACTCTTAGATTTCCTGCCGCCCACTAAGCGGACCACCGAAAGTTTCGCTGAGCATTTCAAGTGAGTTTCTATATTTCTTGAAGTTTCCTGCATCCATTGTTAGTACGTTGCTTCGTTGGTCACATGTACAGCTTCCTTGCTCTTCTGAATCCAACAATTTTTCTAGATTTTTAGTCATTTAATATTGATACGAAAGCCATTGCTAAAATATAGTGATATACTTAGTGAAAGCGCTTCTGAATAGGTTGAGTATAGGGTCTAGTTTACTACTCTTCCTTCTGATTCCTGATTCTTGAAGTTAACTACTCTTCCTTCTAGTTCCTGATCCTACTTCTTGCAAGTTTCCTGCATTCAATACTACTACGTTGCTTTGTTATTCAACTGTACAGCTTCCTTGCTCTTCTCTGATTTCCTCTGTTTCTCTAGATTTTAGTCATTTAACATTGATACAAATGCCGTTACTAAGATATAATTAGAGAAAACGCTTCTAAATAGATTAAGAAAGGTTAAGAATATGGTATATTTTATTACTCTTCCTTATGATTCCTGATTCTGTTTTCAAGATTCTTCCTTACTCTACGAAATGGGGTTATCTTTTCGTCAACGAGTTCAACAATTCCCTGGTCCTATTATGAACATGCATTTCCATGTATAGTGCGCAGTTTACTCTTCTTTCTGATTATGTATTCTTATATCACCTGCCTTTAGAATCCGAGCGTGTAGTCTTCTCTGCGCTTTTTAACAGTGTGTAAATTTGACAATTTTTCTTGTGATTTTACAAAGCAATGCGGGATTAACAGCTCTGGTAGAGTACAACGACAAGAAAATATTTGAGGTGAAGCTGAAGGAAATCAAAGCGGTACTTACGAGCCAAGTGACAGAGGAAATCGACGTAGATGAAGTGATTGAGGCGGTGAAGCAACAGGTGAAAGATGCTAAACTGCCAGAGATTGAGGTCGTGCGTGTGATCTGGGACGGGATAATGGATGCTGTTCAATGGTCTGGGAAGAACCAGCAGCAAAACTCCAACTCTGTATTACGCCAAGTGAGTTTTTTTTGTCTTTAGTGTCATCAAGATTAAGGTTGTTTTGGTCTCAAAAGCTAATTTGTTTGTTTGTTGTTTCTCGTGGTGAGGTGAAAACATGGGCTCCGCTTCTAAACACGTTCTGTAGCAACGGGAAAATGGAGATGGAACTGATGTACAAAGTACAGATGCAATGTTATGAGGATGCAAAGCTGATGAAAGTGTTTCCTGAAGTAGTGAGGTCTTTGTATGAGCTTGATGTGCTTGCTGAAGACACTATTCTTCGTTGGTATCACAAAGGGAGCAACACTAAGGGCAGGTAAACTAATTTTTGATATTTGCAGAGAAAGAAAATAGTATTCACCTCCCTTGCTTCTTTAGTAATGTTGTTGTTTTGGTTTTGTAGGCAAACGTTTGTGAAGGGATTGGAGCCGTTTGTGAATTGGCTGGAAGAGGCTGAGGAAGAAGAGTGAGACACAGTCTGTTTTTTTCTTGCTCTCTTCTTATAAAACCACTATTTTAAATTTCTCTTAATGCAATTTGAGAACACAACTCAGATAAATAACTTTTCTGTTACCTGAATTTCTCTTCTTGTGTTTTTATCCAAAACTTTTTGAATATTATTTTTGAATATTCGAATTAAGATTTTCCTTCTCATTCTCGAAATTTTATATCTTAATTTCCCCACTTTATGTCTTTAACCTCCTTAGTTTTGAGTTGAAGGGGATTACTTTTTTTCGTAAAGGAAAAGAATTTGAATAATATTTTTTACTCACAAATCAAATGAAATCTCCGAAGTTGTAAAATACAAAGAAAAAAAAAAACGTTATCCAAAAAGTAGGGTCTTAATTTAAAAACCACAAAAAAATGGGCAACGAAGAAATGAGAAACTTTGGTGTACTATATCCACTAACCCCTTTAGCCACACAATCACGAATCATAATGGAAATAGACTCCGATGACTACTTCCTCCTTCCTCCTTTCTGCTTCTCCTCCCTCCGCCGCTCTTCTCGGGCGCTTCCTCCGCCGTTCTTGGTCTTCCTCTAAGATCCACTACCGTCTTTCCCGAGGTACATAACTCTTGATTCCTGGAATCTTCATTGTTTATGTGATCTTGTTCGCTTTTAAACACCCCATTAAGTCCATGTACAATCTCAAGAACATAAGATTTTCTTTTGTTACGCTTCTGAGGTGTGAGCACAAAATGAGAAGCTAGAAAAAAATCGTAAGAAGCAGTTAGTCCATGTACAATCTCAAGAACATAAGATACGATGTTTTTTTGTCCTTTCTTGAAATGATATGAATCCTTATGTTCTACCCTTTATCATTCAAGAAAGTTCACTCAATAATGTTCTTAGTTGAATGAAACATCTGCTATTAACTTATAATAGGTTGTATATTTCCTAGTGTACTCTATCTTAGTTGAATAATAGTTGAACTCTATCTTGCTATGTAACTATCTCGTCTTTCTTTCTTTTTTCTTTCTCAGTTCTGAACAGTTCCAGTAGGACTGAAGTATCCATTGATACATCAGAAGCAGACAAGCTTGTTGACAAGATTGATTTTGGGGAACTATGCAATGAATTTGAGTGCACAAGTAGCCCGCAAGTCGAATCTACTGCCAGACAACTTGCTCGCGACATTCTTGAACTCAGGGAAGGAAACCGCGCCTTTGCGTGCTATGCAGTTTCCGTTCGATATAAGGTACATTTTCTGTCACATTATACGTTACAAGCTACATATATATATATATATATATATATTTGTGCTAAAAGTAGTGGTACTACTGATCTTGTGAGTAAATTCTTCCAGTTTCAAGAAGTAGAGAACAAATTTGTAGGAACGTTCTTGTCTTTGGGCAGTTCATGCTACTGAATCATCAGACTTCTTACCTGTTTTGAGTACGGATGAAACCGTTTGAAGTTCATAACTAGACTGAGATAGTTATGAGATCGTAAAGAGAATCAAAAAGACTTTGTTTCATGATGAAAAACCATTTAAATTTGTTAGTCAAAACTCAAAAGGCATTACAACACTTGTTAGTTTTAAATTTCATTATCTCTCCTGTGATTTTCAGAAATTTTCTTTGGCAATAAGTAAATACATGGTGATTGATAGTGATTGCAGGATACGATTAGAAGTTTTACAGGTCGTGAGAAGTACAAAAGACCAATGTGGATAACTAAAGAGTTAGAGAATCCCACAGTGGTGAGAACCTATCTCAGCCTTTAATATTTTTTTTTTTTGCATTTTCTAATCATTTTGGTTACAAGAAATGTGATTATGGCCTCTATTTGTAGACAATACAGGAGATGGTAATGTTATCAACAAGTGTCTTGCGTATTAGATGGACAGTCAAAGGAAAACCAAAATCTTTTCTTGCTGCTCTAAGTGGAGATCTGATAATCAAAGTCAAATCTGAGTTTACTCTTAACCAGATTAGTGGCCAAGTAATTGAGCATGAAGAGTCTTGGGACTCATCTTCATCCTCCCCTATTGCTCAAGCCTATTTCTGGACATCCCGGCGCATCTTTGCTGCTTCTGAATCCGCTAAGGACTTGGTCGATACCACCAAAGACATAACCGCTAGTTTCAACACTCGAAAAGAAGATACAGAGATATATAGGGATCCAAGCGATCCAACTAAGGTTAGTTTTCACTAGCACTAACAGTATTTCATAGTTCTTGCTTGAACCTGTCTAAGTAAACTAAGAGAAATGTTGCAATGATGCAGTATTTCCAAAGAGATGACAGCTTGGAGAGAGATGTATATCAGATTGCACTGTTTCTTGCTATTGTCTACTTTGTTGTACAGTTCTTGAAGAACACACTCTAATTGTCCCTCTCTATAAAGATATAATGTAAATGTCTATATATTGTTGTATATGATCTGTATAAAAACTGAAACAAGAAAATGAGAAAGTTTGTGTGAGTGCGTATGTTGAGAACATCATTTCATTTTCTTTCAGCATCTATCACAACGCACACAAAAAATATGTGAGCTATGCTAATGAAGTAAAAGCCACTGCGATGAATGTTAACAAAATTGTAAGAAGCTTTCCGATGATCAATAAAGATGGTGCCGATGAGAGATTGTCTCCTCCGACCGAGTAAACTCCACCTGATCCGCCTTTTACTTTGATGCTTGATGAACCTTTGAAACAAGAATGCATTTGTTTGTATGAACAAAAAAAGTATGAAGAGTGAGTTTGGTTTGCTATCTTTTTTGGGTTCTAGAGAAAACTTACAGTTATGATCTGCCCATCCAATCACCTCATTCTCCAGATCGTATACTACTAACTTGTTCGATAGCACCATATCTACAAAATGACAAGTCCGTGATTAAGCTAGTTATATTGTAAGCATCAGACCAAAACCAACACACATTGTTGCCGTAAGGTATTGAACGAATTTGAGTTTTAATGATTTTTTGAAGATTTTGGTGAATTAAAAAAATTAGTATGCTGTGTTGTTTACACTTTTTGCAATCTTATTTTAAAACTATGTGATTTGAATCTATGTATTTTTAACTAAAAAATTTCACCAAAAGGCAGTAAAGTTTTTATATTTAGAATATTTATGATAATAGTGATTTGAAAATAAATATTCAAACCACTAGTGGAATAACTGCATAGTAATTTTAAAAAAAAAAAGTTAGAGGAAATGCTCCAAAATAACCTAAAATGAAAAAAAAAATGTAAAACAGGTACTCTATTGAAAAAAAATTATGAAAATAATTTCTATTTTATGGTTTTTTTAAATATCAGACTGGCAGACTGATTGGTCTTACAAGTGAATGTAGACTAATGCAAATTACTGGCAAACTAATGTTCTATTAAAAACACACTAGTAGACCGGGTCATTTTAGGAAGGGTCATGTTTTGTAAAAAAAATTACTAAGTAGATAATTTCAAAAATTATCCCAAAAAATTATGTTCGAATAACGTAGGATTTGTGTTGTTTATTTTCAGTAGTGACTAGTGAGTATCGAAAGAATGATAAATTTTGAACTTTACCTCCCAAGAGAATCACTTCTGATCTATCTTCAGTTGACATTCCACCAACTTGCCAACCGAAGCAGTACATGTCTTTCTGTTGGCAAATGGAGAAAAAAAGAGTTACATTTTTTATTTCTGAACATTCGAATCAAACTTTGACGAAAAATCGAGAACATTTGGTATGAGTAGAAAGATCCTATTCAAACTTCACAAAAAGTGTAACAATGTTGTTGGAATCTGGAAGCACAATTATACTGTCTATTAACTATATTTACCTCAAGTGAAAAAAGATAATCATGCGGATAAACGGTTAGTTTGAGAGAGTCCTCAAATTGAAAATTTACTGGTGGAAAGGCCTGATCTACACTGCGAGTTCAAGCAAGAAGAGTTTAACATTTAAGATATAACACACACATATATGTATACAAGCCATTGATTAATTGGTATTTAAAAGAATGAAGAAGCAGGATAAAAGATTCATGACGTCTTACTCTTTACTGAAGCTGAAACACTGGAAAGTTTCTTCTACTATGTGTAGTTTAACAGGTCGACGAGCAGTGATCTACACAGTAAAAACTCATGTCATGGTTGTGTGAATTACATTAGAAAATAAATAATACTAAGAGCAGAGAAAGTTACCGTTTCTATTAAGGAATCGTAAAGAGCCTGTGGTAAATAAGCCAAAGTTGTACCACTGTCAATAATTGTTCCTCCGTTCCTGACAATACTTGGTGGAAGGTCAAGAGGAACACCATCGACATCCATATCCATCAACATAACATTATAATGCATCCTACAAAATTTTCAACACTGCACGTTATTACAAGATTCATAATTCAATAAGAACATCCCTTATAGATATAAAACATGTCTTAACCTTTAAGGTGCACTAAAGATTTTTAAAATCAAACCATCTCATCAGAAACTATCATGACGACTTACCAGACAAAAAAAATCATCAAGAAAGCTACTCATTTAAAAGGATAAAGTTTTATATGCAAATTCTCCTACTCTAGCTTCTTGATTGGAAAAAAATATTACAAGATTCATGATAAACTTTATATGAAATTACAGGAGTCATGATTCAAGAACACCCTTACTAGATATAGACATGTCTTAAGCCGTTAGATGCACTAAAGGTTTCTAAAATCAAACCATCTCATTAGAAACGATCATGAAGACATACCAGACAAAAAAAATCACCAAGAAAGCTATTCAATAATAATGATAAACTTTATATGAACATTCTCCTACTCTAGGTTCTTGATTTTTTTAAAAAAAAAATACATGAGTCATGATAAACTTTATATGCAATTACAAGATTCATTATTCAACAGTCTAATAGATATAAACATGTCTTAAGCCTTTCGATGCACTAAAGGTGTCCAAAATCAAACCATCTCATTAGAAACGGTCATGAGGACATACCAGACAACAAAAAATAATCAAGAAAGCTATTCAATTACAATGATTAACTTTATATGCACATTCTCCTACTCTAGCTTCTTGATTGAAAAAAAATTACAGGAGTCATGATAAACTTTATATGCAATCACAAGATTCATAATTCAACACTCTAATCGATATAAACATGTCTTAAGCCTTTAGATTCACTAAAGATTTCAAAAACCAAACCATCTCGTTAATTAGAAACGATCATGAGGAAAAAAAAATCATCAAGAAAGTTATTCAATCGAAAGGATAAACTTTATATGCACATTCTTCTATTTTAGCTCCTTCATTGAAAAAAAAACAAGAAATGACTAGAGGAGACATCACGTACTGATTAGGTACCATAGGGGTCGTTTTAACAGTTGGAGAATCCACAACACCAACCGCGAAAATCCCACCTCCTTTCACATTATCCAAGCAATGCGAAAAGACTCTTTTCACGTCCCCTGTGGCAGCTAGTTGTGAAAGCACAGAGGTATTTGCTTGTCCAAATCCCATAACACCATCAACCGCTGACTCAGATTTCCCAAGTTGTCCAGATTGATCACTACCACACCTGTCTCAAAGAGAAGTCCTTATGAGAAAATACAAGAAGACTTAAAAGTTCACATCACTAACAAGAACTCAGTACATTTTAGCAGGATCATGAATAGCAATGATATGGATGTAACACATACATACAAATACGTTCTATTGTCAACAAGACACACAAGAGTGCGTTTCTTGCAAATGATAAGGTAACAAAGAAGCAAGGTGTTAAAGCTCTCACCCGAATACCACTTCTTGCCCAAGTGGTCCGGTTTTAAGATCTCCGGTAACTTGTTCGAGTGTTAAGTTGTCCCTTATAAAGCTCCCCTCACTTGTGCTTTCGTCCGCATACACAATGTGATAACTACATCCGATAGTGGGTTGACAACTATCTGAATTCGATATGAAAGAACAAAATTCATCTTCGCAGCCAACCTTCTTAGAAGTCGAAGAAGCTTTCGCGTCATACAATGATAAACTGAACTGCATTGGCAAAAAAGAAAGAAAGAAAGAGATGATCCAAGAGGAGAAATGGAGAACAATAGTTATCAAGAAAATGAAGCAAGAGAAGAAGAGCGTATTACACCCAGATTAGTTTTCGAGGGACATTTTTGGCAGGGAACGCAGTTGATCCATAGGATATCACTTCCTGTATCAACTTGAACATGATATTCCTTTGGTGGCGACCCCAGCTTGATTCTAGTGAAGTATAAACTGAAACACATTCAACCAAATGTAACTTCATAAGTACCTAAACTTGCTCTTTGTCTTCCCAGATGCTTTCATTTCATACATAAACCATGTCGTATCAACAAAGCAAATATCTACGAAAACAATTTTAAGAATCGTGGACTTTCAACACAAAACAAATTAGTAACAACAAAACAAAAAAAAATCGCGATTACAACCATTTGAAAAACCATGGGCTCGCAACTCGATCAAAATCAATTAGTAAATAGCAGATAGATCTATGATCATTATCTACTATATTATTCTAACACAAATCCGCCATTACAACCATTTTAAAAATCATTGGATTTCCACTGAAAACCAATATAGTAAATATAGCTGAGAGATCTATGATTATTATATATATTATGTCAGTTACAAAATGTGGGACATTCTAACACAAATCGTTTTCGAAAACAGCTATAAACGAGAGAGGGTAAGAACAAAACCCGACAGAGTCTACGCGGCTGTCTCCTCCGAGAGGGAGATCAACGGACGCAAGAATCCGAGAGTGGCGGCGTGTGTCGTGAGACTTGAAATGAGCAAGCTTCTTTTCTTTCCCTGCGAACTTGTGTTGTACCTTAAACACGAAATTGCCTGAAACCAATTCGATCACAATTATGAAAACTGCCACCGCAGTGCACAAATTTCTCCTCGATTTCATCGCTACCACATCCAGATTTCTCTAGGGAAAATATGTTTTTCTGGATTATTTGAATAAATATATTAAATTCAGGTGATCTTTCTTCATATTCAGACAAAGGAAAGAGAGAGTAAACGGCCAAGAAAACTCAGAGACGTGTTTTTTCAAAGGCGGATTTAGCAAATTGCCAAATTTGATGTTTTATAATTTTGAAGAAAACAGCTAAAATTCTTTTTTTTATTTTATATATTTCAAAATCAATGCTTTTTTTTTAAAACCAATGCTTAGATTAGTAAAAAAAAGAAGAAAAATTGCAATTTTTTAATATTTACCTAATTTATTAAACCATAAAAAGGAATATAATGTAGAAATAAGTTTTAATTAGGATTTATTTTATTATATAAAATTTTATATATCCCAAAATCAGTGCTTTTAATAGAAATATTTATAAATTCGTAAAAAGAATTTAAAAACAAAATTAGATAATTCATGTAAAAAAATTAAAATAACTTAAAAATATCAAAACTGAGTTAAAAAGTAATATAATAATAAATATTTTTTTATTAAGTAAAAGTAAATTAAAAAAACAAATAAAGTATTGTTGGGTTTATTTTTATCACGGCCAATATCAAAGTGATATGTAGACATTGAATCTTACTAAAATGCTGCCTTTTTTATTGGTATGCCACCAACTGCTTAACAAATTGTTTTCGGGCAGGTGAGGTGGCGTACTTAATAAAACAGGTGTGATGTACTAAGTCGTCTGCTCCAATATGAGTTAGGAGATGCATAAAAGGAGGCTCAGAGCCAAAAGAGACAGAGGACGCCCGACTAGAGAGAGAGAGAGAGAGAAAGCCGATCTCCTTACTCGAGATCTGATTTTAAATCCGAGGAAGGACGACCACCACCACCAAAACATAAGGAGGAGGAGGAGGGAAAAACCTCCGATCTCCGCCTCGCTGGGGCTCGCTCCGAGCTCCACGACACAATGAACCCAGAAGAGAACGCTCACCATTCCCGATGGTGATGTCTAGAGAGATAAGTATTCTCTTCATCTCTATCCTCTACTTTATGCCCATGCAGACAAAGCTCATACTCCACTCTTCTCACGATTCACTCCTGTACACCATCTTTCACTAAATATCAGAGGAGTAGCACGATCTTCGGACGGGGTAATCAATCCATAAAAACTCCCTTTCGGTCCACTTGGAGGTCCGACTCACTCGTTTGCCTATGTCCACAGGACCCATCTGACTTCCGTCCTGGAGCCGTATGTCGCTTATCCCCCAGAGAACAAAACCTGGAGACGCAGCTCTTCACATCCGGACAAACGCGTATGTATCTCGTAATTTATGTCCAAATAGGTATACTAACATACAATGATATGATGTGTTGAAGTTACTAAATTACGCTATCGTGACATAGTGATTTGAATCAATAAAATTTTGACATGTATTACAGTTAAAAAAATATTTGAATTACAAAAAAAATAAAAACAAAAAAAAACATATATTTGAATTAAGTAAAAAAAAATAAAATCAAAATTAAACAGAAGGATATATATCAATTAAGAAAACAGAAAATTAAGATAATAAATGTAAATAAGATTAACTTTAATTTATGAAAATATAAACTAAAATACTAATCCTAAAAATAAATAAAAAACAAAAGAAAGAAATCTGTTTTTGTTAGATTCCTATATATGTGATAGATAGATGAAGAAAAAGGCGAAAAAGGGCGATTTTATTACGGTTATTATTCATCTTTATCAAGAAGACGGTTCTACAACTTTTCGATGTCGGAAAGGCGATTTATCGTGATGACAGTTTACAGCAAGCAGTTAAATCCTGCAAAGAATATTTAAGGAGATTTGCGATTCCGTCCAAACACCACACCAATCAAGATCTAAACACTTTACCACCCAACCAGAGCAATAAAAGCAACTTTCAGATCGACATGGCCGATAACTTACGTCGGGCGATAAGAGACATCAACATTGGAGCCGAGGATCGACCGTTTGTGCTTCCTTCAGAGATTGTCAATCAAGCGATGGCAGCGAACCGTTTCGTTATTATTGGGCGTCCGGTGATGCCCCGAAGACAAAATCTCCGAGCAATTGTGGCTAATCTACCCAGGATTTTGGGAGTGATGGGACACGCACACGGAAGAATCATTGAAGGACGGAGATTTCAATTTGTTTTTGCCTCAGAGGAAGCATTTGAATGGGTTCTCCGACGAGGACCGTGGGCTTACGCTGACAGGATGTTAGTGCTCCAATGCTGGACACCACGAACAAACCCGGATGAGATGCACTGTACCCCCTTCTGGATCCAAATCCGAGGTATACTGTTCCAATACCTAAGCCATGACGTCATAGCGCACATCGACAGAGCCATTGGAATGTTCCTCGAAGTGGAATTCAACCCAGATATGGCAGCCATAGTGGAGTTTTTCAGAGTTTGCATCGACTGGGATATCCATAATCCTTTGTGATTTCAGAGAAACTTTCAATTCTCTCCTGGAGTTAACACGATGCTGCAATTCACTTATGAGAGGCTCCGAGTATTTTGTGAAGTATGTGGAATGTTAACCCACGACTCTGGAAATTGTCTCATTCAGAATGGAGGACAGGATCCTGATGACATTAATGGTCATAATAACGAAGACAGTGATGAGGAGCCGATGCCAGATAACCAAGAGAACCAGGGACTACGGCCACATGGAGTGATCATTGAAGAGCTCACCGATGATGCAATGGATGGCGAAGCCCTTGATGAGCGCATGAACAATATTGAGCCAGATGATGCAAACCATGAAACAGAGCACGAGGGGATTATTCGCTCAGGAGGAATTGACATGGACGCCGAAGACAACCTGGAAGAAGACTCATATCTCTAGGGAGGAATATACCGAGGCGGAGGAGCATTCAACTCAATGGCGCTTCGCGATGAATATGACCCTGAGGTAATCAGAAACTCTTACAGTGATAACTCGGTAGAAGCCAGAATAGCAAATAGGAACACAAAGAGAAAGTTCATTGATAATGGAGAAAGTGCTGGCAATTACTTCTCTAAGAGGACTGAACGCGGAGAAGGGAGTGGTGCTATGGCTGCAGAAGCTACGAATGCAACTGATAAAGGTGCGGTGGACCCTGAACCACCACATACACCATGAGGACAGCCTGATGGAACTGTCAAAGCTTAGGTAATGGCCTGACAGTTCAACGCCTTAAGGAGATAAACCAGAAATATCTCTCGGACATCATTTGCCTTTCAGAAACAAAGCAGCAGGATGATTACATCCAAGATATTGGAGCACAAATAGGTTTTCTTAATTATCGTACTGTTCCGCCTATAGGTCTAAGTGGTGGTTTAGCCTTATATTGGAAGCAATCAGTTCATATGTCTTTTCTTTCCCTTTGTCCAAACATTGTAGATACTGAAATTCTAGTAATGGAATGACTTTTTTCTTTTCTTTGATTTATGGTCATCCAAATGCTAGATTTCGAACACAGACATGGGAAAGATTAGAACATATTGCATCAATGGGCTCACCATGGATAGTAATGGGCGATATGAATGAAATTTTAAGTAACAAAGAGAAGATAGGGGAAAGAAAGAGACCGGAATCCACTTTCCTGGACTTTAGAAACATGATAAACATTGTGATTTCTCAGATATACGAGCTATAAGAAATAAATTCTCTTGGTATGGCAAAAGAGGGGATCATCATGTAGCATGTTGTTTAGATAGATCAAAGGCTAAAAGTAACTGGTTATTACAATATCCAGCTTCTGAGACAGAGTTCCTTGAGATTGCAGAATCATACCACCGGCCTTTAATCACTTTCATAACGGACAGCACAGAGGATAGAAGAGGCTATTTCAAATATGATGGAGGTTTTTTTACAATATGAAGGATTCCGAGAAACAATAATCACAGGTTGGGGACCAACAGAGGCCTGCAACAACAACGCCTTATCTATAAAAGAACGTTCGCAAAACTGCAGAAGATACATATCTCGCTGGAAAAAGAGGAACCGTACAAATGCAGCTGAGAAAATAGCTATACTCCGCAAGATACTGCTATATCCACGGGACATCTAACATTACGAGAACGAAACGATTTAAAACAGCAACTTCATCAGGCGTATCTAGAGGAAGAACGATATTGGAAATTGAAAAGCAGAATCAAATGGCTACAAGAGGGCGATAGAAATACACATTTTTTTCATACAACAACGAAAACAAGGAGAGCTCGTAATCACATTTCATCCTTACTTGATAACCACGAGGTTGTGCAATGTACGAAGAAGGAACTAGCAGCAATTGCAGAACAATATTTCACAACACTCTTCTCAACCAATACGGATAA